GCTGCGGGCGCGGAGCGGAGCGGGCTCTCGGGGCCGAAGGCGGCGCTCAGCAGCGTTCCATAGCGGCCCGCCGCGTTCGGAGCGCGCCCCCCGCGCCCCGCTCCCTGCCCGGCAGCATGGAACCGCGGCGTCCTGCGCTGCTCCGCTGGCGCCCGGCTCCACGTTCCCCAGCGAGCGGGGTGAAAGGCAGCAGCCGAGCGTGTGTATCCGGGTTAGGCGGGGGCGGAGCGCCGGGGTAGGCTGCTGGCGGGGTCCCACTGAGCATGCCTGGAGCAGGCTTGCCGGGCTGGTCCCTGAGTATCGGGGAGGAATTGGGTGAATCTCTGGGACTGGGGGCTCGGAAAAGAGGCCACGCTATAACGAGGGGGGCCTAATAGCCTCAAAGCCACAGTGAATTCCAGCGTGCTGAGCTTCTCAATAGGGAAACAGGCCTGCCAGGCGTAAGCGGGCCAAAATTCTGACTCAGGCCCATGAAAATCATGTTTGGATGGGTTTTTAAAAGTATAAATGTTGGGCTATTTTTTTTGCCTTTATCCTTTAGGGTACAGCCAGGCCATGTTTTGCAGCTTCTGTTGTTATGATTCTTACTAAATGGCAGCAGAGCTCGGGTGACGCTGGTGCTAATAGGGGGGTGGTTGGGGGCTGTAGCTGTCCCTGAAGTTCGAACCCCAGCATGTCTTACCTAAGGTCTCCACTGCTTAAAGCACATGCCCTAGCCCCGCAGGCAGCTTTTACCTGCAACAAACTTTGTGCCATTCCCGGCTTTGCAGATAGGAAGGGTAATTAAGATAACAAAAAGTGTGTCATCATTCATAAATGATCTTGAAATGGGGGTAATCAGTGAGATGGCAAAATTTTCAGATAATACAAAATTTCTCAAAATAGTTAAGTCCAAAACTGACTGCAAAGAGTTATATAGAGATCTCACAAAACTAGGTGATTGGGCAGCACAGTGTTAAAAGTTTAACAATTACCAACTGATTTGATCTCCATGACATATTGTTGTGTTCTGTAGTATACTAATGCTCTGAATGTTTATGAGATTGTTTTTGCCATAATGTTCTTTGGGCAATAATTTGCAAACTGTCAATAGCCAATCATGTCCTTTTCTCCTTACACATAGGTCTGACTTAATTATAAGTAGTAAAATTACCACAATTTAATTAGAAAGTTATTAGAATTGTCCCATTCTGAATATAAACAATAGGTTGAATCCTTACCAGCCTCTGAATTCCATTAAATGCATGGAAAGAGGTTGAGACAACAGGAGACCAGTATCTATGCTCTGGTTTGTGTTAATCTAGCTCCAGTGTTATAGGTTGAACCTCTGAAAAATGAAAATCTCTGGTCCAGCAACATCCGTGGTCTGGCAGGACCATGAATGTTCCTGGCCCAGAGAGCCCAGGAGTCTAATGACTGGAGGGCCAGCACCCATCTGGGGGCAGCGGGGTCGGAGCCTCGAAACAGTGCTGGGGTGGGGCTGGAGAACCTCAACAGCCACAGCAGCATGGGGCTGGAGGAAGAAGTTTGGCCACCTGCACAGTGCGGAGCTGGGGAATTGTGGCCACCCACAGCAGCACGAGGCCAGGGAACCACAGCAGCACAACACCAAGGGCTGGAGAACTCCAGACGCCCATGGCAACCCAGGGCTAGGGGACTGATGGCAGCAGGGCGAACAGCCTGTTGGAGGGGTGGTTAGAGGGGGCCAGCTGGCTCGGGGCTGGCAGCAGGGGACCCTTCCCCTGGTTCCGAAAATTCTTCTATTCGGTACTAGTCAGGTCCTGACATTGCCAGACCAGGAAGGTACAACTTGTAATAAGTGCAGACTACCTTACTTACAGACTTAGCAAAGTGTAGCAGAATCGTCCTGATCCTAATCATGTTCTAATTCTTTTGTTCAAAACTATGGTAATTATTTGTTCTAAGTTTTTGACTTTATGCTTCAGGCACTGGTAAATCTGATTTCTAATCTTATAAGTCTTGTAATCAAATTCTCACTAGTTTTCATTAATATTAAACATTTTAACAGTGATTATTTGTGTGCCTTAATGAGGAATATTTCTGATTATTTTCCTGGTTTCATCGTGATTGAAATGTCTAATCCCCAAAAAGATGGGTTTTTTTAGAAATACAGAGCATTCTGGATTTAGTTAGGAGAATTAGGAGATAGAAATGAGATTTAAAGGCTAGCTTGTGTGTGCAATTGGAAAAACACAACAGTTTCTACGACCTTGTTCAGCTGTAAAGCCAGACGAATGAAAAGTAGCCCTGGAAACAAGAGAAGAAGGTATAGAATGCAATTTGACATTAATAAGATGCAGTTGTCAAGTATTTCAGATATTTTGCTGTTGGTTTCCTTTCAATATGCAGTTATGAATGGGAAACTTTTTTCATTAAATTTTATCAGGATTTCTGGAGGACTTTTGCTGAACTGTTCAAAAGTAAATAGAATCACCACACTGGTTGAAAGAGCTTTCTGAACATCATTAGGTCTGTAAAGGAAAGGGTCCTAATTTCAGCCTCTTGTACAAAGGTCCTTTTGTGTGCAAGGGGTAGTGCTGATTGTCTTGATGGTTTCTCATTAAACACTCTATTGTTAGCAATCTTCTGGCACACACAGAGTCCTTTGGTTTTGGCTTTTATTTTATTTAATTTTTCCCAGGAATTTATCAGTGTCTATTATGACAACAATAGGAAACAGATGAAAATTGGTGCAAATGTTCATTATTAATAATTTTTCTTAGTAAAGATCGGGGTTAATTTTGATTGATGGAAGGACAGAAGAAAAAAATATTTAGTACATTCATATTTTGATGAAATCAGTGTGGTTTGCTGCAGAACTAAAATGGAACTCAAAACACAATGACATCTCTGTGTTTACGAAAACAATATATCCCTAATCCCCAAATAAAACTTTTCATTTGAATAAACAGCTTACTGTTGTAGAGTTAGAACTGTTAGCCTATATATATTTACATTTAACACTTGGGCCCAACATTTTAAAAATATTTATAAATCCTCCTGTCTTATGTGAAGTCCTTCCATGTAATTTCCAAAAGTCCTAAATAGCGCTGATTCACAGCAAGCTTTATAAAGAGTGTATTCCAAGACCTATTTTAGAAGTAGCCAGATTTTGAAAATATCTATCTAAATATCTATCTGTTGTTTGAATATTGTCATTTTATATTGTTTGTCCAATGGGTCAGTAAAAGTTAATTATCTTGAAATAAGGATAAGAATATTTTTGAATACATGTCTTTTTATAAGTACTCTCATAAGAAATGAGAATATGAGCTATAGATATCTAATTTTTGATGCCCTTGGACAATTCTTTCTGTCTATTGAAAAATAATTTGGTAGACTTTGTCCATCCTAGTCTGTAATTTCACATTTTAGGCTGTAGAAGAAAAAAGGTGTTATGGATCTTTATTCTGAGAATAAATGGCTGTAAAGGAGAAGGTTTAAAAAGAGTGACAGACATTTCAAAGAGGTCTGACTGAGCTAAACAGTACACTATGTGCTGAAAGAGTAGTAGAACTTGGAAGAGTTTTGATAAATTCAATGATCTATTTTTTATTGCTTGCACTCTCGTCACAAAAGATGTACCTAACTAAGCAGCACAATTAGATTAACAGATTCAGAGATTAGAAGTTTCACTTTTACAAATGATTTAAAAGGATTACACAAAGAGATCCCAGACAATTTAAGTGTTTTTAGCCATTTTTTGCGTACCTCTCGTATCTCTAAAAGAAACAAATCCAGGATACTAAACAAGAAGAACAACAATATTAAAACTCAGCGGACACAATGCATCTGGAAGTGAAAATCTCTTGTAGTGTGTTTCTTGACAACATTAGCAAAACATTAACAGATGCTCTTCAAGCCAACTCTTAATTAAAGCTGACAGTGCACATAAACATTTTATTGGTATTTGCCACACCAAATCTTCTAACGGAAATTTGCTTAAAAGCATTTGATAGTTGAACTGGATTGAAAACAATGAAATGACAGATATGCTACTAATTTAGTACTGTGGTGACTACTATAACCTTTTACACATAGCAGAAGGATTAATAAACCACAAAGAATCACAGCAGCTGTTTTCACGTGACAGGCTGTAAATGAGTGGAAAAGAGGTATAAAGATGGATGATAAAATGACTGAAGAGGTGCACTGAATACTTTGTATTAAGAATGTCATTGCTTTTCTTATGATAGGTTATTAATACTGTCTAAAAGAGTTCCTAGTTGATAGGCACTGGAATTACTGAAGAAATCTATAACTAGAGATAAAACTAAAATATAACTAGAGATAAAACTAACTTTAATACTGGGACCATACATACAAAACAATAGGTTCCAGATTAGCCATTGCCATTCTCAAGAAAGGAGTTCTCATAGGCATCTGAACTGCCAGGCATGGCATCACCCACACTGGTCCCAGGATGCCTGCTGCAGGTGTTCTGGGGGCGAAGTGTTGCTGCCCCCAGCGCCCATCTTCCCACTGCTCCAGGCTGGGGAAGCTGGGGATGTGTGCCATCCACTCTCCCCATGCTCCGGGGTCTGAGGAGGCTCGAGCCAGCTCGGGTTGGGCAGCCTCTTCCCTCCCTCCCCAGTGTTTCACGAGGTGTAATGGTATCCCCAGGCTTGCTGAGTTTTCAGTAGTATAGATGCAGCATTCATGAAAGTCGAAGCCATTGGCCTCTGGGAGGCATCCCACAGTTCCCCACTCTGCCCAGAACTTGCACCTTTGCTGCTCTCCTGGGCTATGTCTAGACTGCAGGCTTCTTTCGAAAGAGGCTCTTTCGAAAGCATCTTTCAAAAGAGCCTCTTTCGAAAGAGAGCGTCTAGACTGCACGGAGAAATTTCGAAAAAGCGG